CTTCTACAGACCTAAAGTAAACAGTCATATATTTATTAATGCTCACTTAGCGGATGAATTTAGGCTCTCTGTATTTTGTTAGTGTGTGTGTGTGTGTCGTGGCAGTGGGTGGGGGCAACAATTCATATAATCATGCTAAAAATGAGTACATATTGGTTAGATGTCAGGGGATCAGCGTGGTTGAATAGGTAAAGTTCGTGGATGCTTAACCGAAAAGTCTCGAGTTCAAGCCCTCGGACAGATATGGCTCGTTAGCTGGGGACAGCAACTCTTTTAGGAGAGACAACTCCAAAATCAAACAGCTGCTGTAGTTTGTTCTTGGTTGGACAAAGGCTATGGAAACAAATTAAAAAAGAAAAGCAGGCTGAAATCGGAGTTAATGGTCTCAAAAGCGCATGACCAGTTGACACTTATACTTAATTGTGTTGGAGGGGATCCCTTCCAACACTAAAATTAAGAACGAAGAAGAAGAGAAGAAGAAGAAGGTTAAATGTTTGCATCCACATTACCGCTCATTGAACACAATAGACTGCTTTTAAAAATTAGCAGTTTTGTGAATATCGGTGTCGAATGTTCCTATAAGGTATAAATAATCCATTAATATCTTGAATAGTATGCTGATATATATATATATATATATATATATATATATATATATATATATATATATATATATATATATATATATATATCAAGGGCCCCGAAAAATGTTTCAGCCCGGGGCCCCGCCCAAGCTTAATCCGCCCCTGCTTATGTCCTACAGCAAGTCCACGATAATAAATTCATTAAAAACGAAATACATCGATTTGGTCGAATTTTTTATTACTGATATCACACATTACGCATCGCAATAATGAGGGCGTATTTTTTAAAAGAACATAATAGTACAAAACATAACTATAAATCAACTTGGCCATGTTTCTATAACAATGATGATCAATTCAAACGGGTCGTCAGATAGATTAGAAGAAATATAGAACAAAGAATAAATACTGAAAATATCACTTCTCCTTTCAGCGTATGTAATTTCTAGAATCCATAATCCATCTGTGAACAATAAGCTGTCAGGCGATTTAATATGTCCTTAGACTATGAATAAGATGGAGTGTTTTAGATGTTTACTAAGTTAAATCTGGCGCGTCCGCCGGCGCCCTGACATGGTGCGATTTGGTGCTCCGGACTATACTGCGAGCACTATGCGTTTATGTGTGCATTTAAGTTTGTGTTTATGTTAGCGTTTGCAGTATTTTCTGCGTTATTGTTTGCGTTTACTTTAGTGTTTGCTTTTGTAATTATGTTTGTATTTGTTTTCGTGTGTGTTTACCTTTGTGTTTTGATTGGTTGTGGTTAGGGCTAATTTTAGAGTTAGGGTTATGTGTTATTTTATCAAACCTCCATATTTGCATATAGACATTTAATTTGAAAAGTAATATATTTCCTAAACTCGGGCAATACATACACATACACGTCACATATGCCATTACAGGGCCTGGCAGAGGCGTAGCGACCCTCCCTGGCGCCCGGGGACAAACTTTTCGATTTGCACCCCTCCCCCTCAAACTTTTGATTTGCACCCCTCCCCCCCCCCTCAAGATTTCGATTTGCCCCCCCCCCCCTCAAACTTTCAATTTACACCCCCTCAACCTTTCAATTTATTTTTCCAATCCATTTTGGCGCCCCCTAAGGTCGGCGCCCGGGGACATATGACCTGTCCCCCCCCTAGCTACGCTACTGGGTCCTGGCCAGCTAGTTATATACATTTAAATAAAATAATTTTTCTCACTTTTTAGTGCATTATAACATAACATAATGTTGTGTAAACGTTTTTTAAGCAGTTTTTTTCCAGTACTTTAAAATTTAAAAAATTCATAAAAAACGTTTTAATAACAAGCTTTTATGTAATGATGCACTAAAAAGTAGAAAATAAATTATAGACTACTATTTAAATAAATATAAAGAAAAGCGTGGGTCACTTTAGTATCTATTGGATACCTTTACTAATGTTAAGGAAGACACCCACGCTTTTATTTATAGTTATTTAAATAGTAGTATATAATTTATTTTCTACTTTTTAGTGCATCATTACATAAAAGCTTGTTATTAAAACGTTTTTTATGAATTTTTTTTTCAGTACTTTACATGTTTTATTTACAATAGAGTTACATGACTAAAAACATTGCGCGCCTACTGAACATCACGTTCAGTAGGCGCGCAATGGTTTTTGAACGCAGCCATTACGTGATGGCGCAGCTATTGAAGGTGATGACGCGTGTGGTGTGGTTGGCTAGACATGCCTACTAATTCGGTCCAAATTTTAATTAATTCTTAAAAAATTAATTAGGCATCCAATTAAGTCAAATTTAGATTCAGATTGCATTGTCTTCATGTCTTGACCCACGTGCCAACTGTGAATCGTATCGGTCAAGTAGAACTGTCCGAATTTTCACTCCTGCGTTTCCGTCTAGACAGACTGACGAGGAAGTGAGTTAAAAAAAAAATTCATAAAAAAAAAATTCATAAAAAACGTTTTAATAACAAGCTTTTATGTAATGATGCACTAAAAAGTAGAAAATAAATTATAGACTACTATTTAAATAACTATAAAGAAAAGCGTGGGTCACTTTAGTATCTATTGGATACCTTTACTAATGTTAAGGAAGACACCCACGCTTTTCTTTATAGTTATTTAAATAGTAGTCTATAATTTATTTTCTACTTTTTAGTGCATCATTACATAAAAGCTTGTTATTAAAACGTTTTTTATGAATTTTTTTTTCAGTACTTTACATGTTTTATCTACAATAGAGTTACATGACTAAAAACCATTGCGCGCCTACTGAATATCACGTTCAGTAGGCGCGCAATGGTTTTTGAACGCAGCCATTACGTGGTCGTGATGGCGCAGCTATTGATGACGCGTGTGGTGTGGTTGGCTAGACATGCCTACTAATTCGGTCCAAATTTTAATTAATTCATAAAAAATCAATTAGGCATCCAATTAAGTCAAATTTAGTTTCAGATTGCATTGTCTTCATGTCTTGATCCACGTGCCAACTGTGAATCGTGTCGGTCAAGTAGAACTGTCCGAATTTTCACTCCTGCGTTTCCGTCTAGACAGACAGACTGTCGACTGACGAGGAAGTGAGTTAAATAAAAGCTTGTAAAAACGTTTTAATAACAAGCTTTTATGTAACGATGCACTAAAAAGTAGAAAATAAATTATAGACTACAATTTAAATAACTATAAAGAAAAGCGTGGGTCACTTTAGTATCTATTGGATACCTTTACTAATGTTAAGGAAGACACCCACGATTTTCTTTATAGTTATTTAAATAGTAGTCTATAATTTATTTTCTACTTTTTAGTGCATCGTTACATAAAAGCTTGATTAATGCGCGTACATAAGTGCTGAATACTCGGATAGGCCTACCTACTAGTTTTAGAAAATATTCCTTAGTTCATAAAAAATTAATTAGTCGTCAAATTAAGATAGACTGTCGAAAGACAGAGGAAGCAAGTTAAATAGAAGCTTGTATAAATAGGGTGCAACTGACTCATTACAGTAAGTATGTGCCTTCTGAGACGCCCGTGGAGAATGCGAACAGTGTTATCTACCTTGGTATGTGCGTCCTGTAACATCCGCCAGTTGTCCATTAAGACTTTTAAGTCCAATTTGGCATTCAGGGTAAGGGTAAACGACCACACGATCTAGAAAATCTATGTGGTATGCATGTAGTTTGTTTATCGGAACTCCGTTTAACTGACCATATATTTATTAGCGCTCCATCCGGTCTCTCTACTCGGCCTTTGTCCAGTCGTCCGGCTGCTTTTTAAAGCCAACTGGGCATATTGATAGGCAACGAGTTCTGACTTGATGTGTAGCCTCGTTTATACTAACGGTATGACATACACGAACCTACAGATGGCGTGTTGCTTAGGCGCATTGTTGTTACACTCCCATCCAAGATAGGATGTGTCTCGTCTGTTGCGTTTATTAATGGATAATGGTTGGCTATCAAATAGCCTTATATATAACCTTTTATTCTCAAAGGGTGTGACATGCCTAGTTCAGTTTGGCGTTGAGACTTGTTTACAAGCTGTATTGTAATAAGCATAGAAAACAGGCGAAAGCTCGTTAAATCATCGTGGGGGCGCCGGCCCTGCCTTTTAGCCAGGCTTATACTAACGGTATGACATTCACGAACCTTCAGATGACATATTGTTCGGCACATTGTCGTTACACCTCCATCCAAGATGGGATATGTCCGTCTGTAGCGGTTATTAATAGAATAGGCTGGCTATCAAATAGCCTTATATAGCCTTTTTCTAACCGGGTGTGACATGCATAGTTGAGTTGGCTTTGAGACTTGTTTACAAGCTGTATTGTAATAAGCACAGTAAACAGGAGAAAGCTCGTCTAAATCCTCGTTTCGGTTTTAGTATTAGTTTTCATAATCGACTTGTGAGGAATGATACAAATTTACAATAATAATGATTTTTTTTTCTGACATTCATTTTTATTCAAATTGTGTAGTAAAGTCTTTGATTGACAGTATCACAACGGTTGAATCCACTTAAATCATACCAGGATTTAATCAACCAATCAGTCATACAATCATTACAGATGACTGGATAAAAATCCCTTTCACTGTCAAATCACATGATTTATATCAAATCACATGATTTATTATGTCTACACAATAAGCCTACATAAACACACGCACATTTAAACGCATTGCTGCACTTATACAATGACACATCCCTCACACACGCACGCACGTACTGACACACGCTAAGCACATACAGGCCTAAAACTCTTATTTAAACATTTTAAAATAAAATATCCCACGTTCCTTCACTGGAATTGGAATATTACATTAATATTAATATGTGCACGTGTTTTTAAAGAATTAAAAGTAATAAGGCTTAGTAGTAGTAAAATATTAATAATTACATTGCAAAATTGTACACTTTTTAATTTTTTTTACTTGTACTTGTATTGAGCAGTCGCAGACTTGAAGAGTAGGCTACCAGTCATTGGTTCTGTGCTATATTACATAACTGAACATTTACATTTCTGATATTTTTTTCGTAAACTTCTGGTAACTGGTATGACCTCCGAGCTCACTGCAGGAACACAGTGCACGCTTGTGGTACTTTGCAGTACTGAAATATAAAGGGACGTTAGTTAACTTTTACCTCACTGGTATAGCTGGTTTTATAAGTTAAGCAATATAACCAATTTTGACGGGAATTCTCGGCGTCACTTGAATACCCGGAACATGTCTTTGTTATTTATATCATGACTGTAGCAGGTCTACGAGGAATATATCGCTTGGGAACACACAATAAGCTACACAGTGTTGCAAATTGCCAAAGTGTATGTTTACAATACCCCATGAACTGCTATTTCAAAGACAGATTCAAAGGTCTAACAAGATCATGGCGAACTACTTTTGATATATATCTAAAAATAATAGTGTAGCATACAGGATTCTTACAAACTACATCATCAATACAACAAACTACATCAACAATACAAACTAAATCATCAAGTTAATCATTCATCTATTCCTACACCATTGCGACCATTGTTACCCGAGTGCTATTTGGGCGGCTCACGAGAGGCTGCCAGTAAAGTTAAAAACAATCATCTTTGCTTTTAGTTAGACGACCAAAACGTCAAGATTTGGTAAGACATTTTAAAAATGTTTATTTAAAATGATAGAAACATTCAGAGCAAGCACCGCTAACAGCGCACCATCATCTCCCATCATGTCCGACTCAGCAACACAAAAAGTTATAAAAACCTACCTGGCGACCACTTGTCCGTTTGACCGTCGTATGTGTAAAATGGTGTTCCGGTGTCCAGGGCTAGGTCCCACCAAGGCTGGCAGACGTTATGCTGTAGGAATTATCTGGCTCAGTTACTGTGTTCGTTGAGTGTGTGTATGTGTGTAATGCGTGTGTGTTTAGTGGATAATGTGAAGATAAGTTGCCGGCCAATAAAAATGTTTTAAATGTTTAAAAATTAAAAGGACACATTAATGTCTCCTCCAACAACCAGAGTTTCAGTGAGTACCTTTGTTGTATTGGTTGCTTCTGTGTGAGTCCGAGACTTGCTCTCGTTCTTTTGTTTGAGCTGTGAGATCATGTTTTGTTTCAGCTCGGTCATGTGACCTTGTGCCACCAGCTCCTCCTCGAAGTCTTGCAGCATGTCGTCATTCGTCTCGTTGTAACACACTGGAGGATCACACAAAGCACATCTTTACTCGTCATTCAACACAACTCTACTGGAGGTCACACAAAGCACATCTTTACTCGTCATTCAACACAACTCTACTGGAGGATCACACAAAGCACATCTTTACTCGTCATTCAACACAACTCTACTGGAGGTCACACCAAGCACATCTTTACTCGTCATTCAACACAACTCTACTGGAGGTCACATAAAGCACATCTTTACTCGTCATTCAACACAACTCTACTGGAGGATCACACAAAGCACATCTTTACTCGTCATTCAACACAACTCTACTGGAGGATCACACAAAGCACATCTTTACTTGTCATTCAACACAACTCTACTGGAGGATCACACAAAGCACATCTTTACTCGTCATTCAACACAACTCTACTAGAGGTCACACAAACCACATCTTTACTCGTCAATCAACACAACTCTACTGGAGGTCACACAAAGCACATCTTTACTCGTCATTCAACACAACTCTACTGGAGGTCACACAAAGCACATCTCTACTCGTCATTCAACACAGCTCTACACAGTCATTTAATGGTCTCTAAGCGTCGCGTACGCGAATTACAATCTTGTTAATTGTTTACAAGGTAGTGTTTATAACTTCAAACAATGCAGTGTGTGGGATCGGCACGAATAGCCGAAACCGGAAGTAACCTTATTTTAATAAAATTTGCAAAGTCTCATTTGAAATGTATTATATTTTATAAATTATATATGCCTACATAGAATCCTATCTACATTATAAAAGTTTAAACTTATAAAATTCATATACATCTTTAATGATATTTTAACATCAATAAAGGAATGATGGAATCCGGGTGATAACGCTCGACTGCCTACCCGAAATTCTCTAGTTCGGATTACGGATGTGAGTCTGTAGGACGTCTCTGAAAGCACTCAGCTCTAATAGGTACTCTAATAGGTACCTTACACTAGTTAGGGAAAGTAATGGCGAATGGGCATAGGGCTGAAAACACCATCCCTTCATATGCCGTGGTCTGGAAATAGATAAACCCTTATCTACCCTATGGGTTGTGAGGTCTGAAAAGGGAACTTGAGTAGTGGGGGAATACAATAAGACACCCCAAGAACCCGCACTGGCTGCCACCCCACCTAGTGACGCCACTGACCCTAAGTAGACCACGTGGTTAGTTTAAATGTGGGGGGCCATGTGACACATGACCTTCACCCTCCTAGTTACCTGCTAGGAACATGTCTGTGATGACGTCGATGTGGTTAAGGTTAAGGTAACATCCTCCAGACACTTCAGCCAACTCTCTGTAAAAATGGGAATTAACCGAGTCTGTCCCCGCCTGAACGCCATATACCTGCAAATATCAAGTGTTGAACACATATTAGTTAACGTAGTTCTATAATCAGCTTAATCTTAACTTTACATAGATAACGTAGTTATATAATCAGCTTAATCTTAACTCAAGCTAGTTAAAGTAGTTCTATAAGCCTTACCGTAACTAGTTAACGAACCCAAGTTAACGTAAATCTATATATAAGCCTTACCTTAACCCCCTAATTAACGAAGTTCTATAAGCCTTACCTTAACCCCCTAATGTACGAAGTTCTATAAGCCTTACCTTAACCCCCTAATTTACGAAGTTCTATAAGCCTTACCTTAACCCCCTAATTTACGAAGTTCTATAAGCCTTACCTTAACCCCCTAATTTAAGAAGTTCTATAAGCCTTACCTTAACCCCCTAATTTACGAAGTTCTATAAGCCTTACTGTAACCCCCTAATTAACGAAGTTCTATAAGCCTTACCTTAACCCCCTAATTTACGAAGTTCTATAAGCCTTACCTTAACCCCCTAATTTACGAAGTTCTATAAGCCTTACCTTAACCCCCTAATTTACGAAGTTCTATAAGCCTTACCTTAACCCCCTAATGTACGAAGTTCTATAAGCCTTACCTTAACCCCCTAATTTACGAAGTTCTATAAGCCTTACCTTAACCCCCTAATTTACGAAGTTCTATAAGCCTTACCGTAACTAGTTAACGAACCCAAGTTAACGTAAATCTATATATAATTTACGAAGTTCTATAAGCCTTACCTTAACCCACTAATTTACGAAGTTCTATAAGCCTTACCTTAACCCCCTAATTTACGAAGTTCTATAAGCCTTACCTTAACCCCCTAATTTACGAAGTTCTATAAGCCTTACCTTAACCCCCTAATTTACGAAGTTCTATAAGCCTTACCTTAACCCCCTAATTTACGAAGTTCTATAAGCCTTACCTTAACCCACTAATTTACGAAGTTCTATAAGCCTTACCTTAACCCCCTAATTTACGAAGTTCTATAAGCCTTACCGTAACTAGTTAACGAACCCAAGTTAACGTAAATCTATATATAAGCCTTACCTTAACCCCCATGCCCGTCAAGACGTTCAGCTCGTCTCGCCACCAGATACGCTGGTCGGTGTATGACGGAGGGTGGGGGTGTAAGTCCCCTATAACGACCAGAGCCTTGGCCGAGTCTTCAGACCAGTCCAACAGCTGGGCTTTTTTCAAGACCAGTTCGTAGCACTGAAAACATCAAGTATGTTTACACTCGTTTACAGGCTTCTCTGTGTGTGTTGGGGGGGGGGGGGGGGGGCACTGCCCTCACCGAAGCATGTCCGCCGTCTCTCGTCCAACGCCCCCCCCCCCTCCCCGCATACACAAAAACGTACAATTACATTTAGATAGAAAATGTATACTTTAAACATTGTCCGCCCCACACTTGAAGTTTCACCCCCCCCCCCCCCAAATAATATGTCTGAAAGCAACCCAAAATACAACGTTTGTCAGTGTCAACACAACAGCTGAGAGAGCCGGGTATTTGTACAGGGTTCAAGTCAGAGTTAGCGGAGTACTCAAGTACTTAAACACTAGATTTAAAAAACACAAGGCCGGACGTGGACAGGGCTAAAGACATTGACAGGGCTAGAAAATTGCCCACTTACCTCTGGTGCATCGCCTCCACCAGTGGCTGGAACATTCTGAGCAAAGTGGACAAGTGTCTGCACGTCAGAAGTAAGGTCAACAGATCTGCGGCAGACGAACCATAAAAAAAAGATATATTCCAGTATTCATTTTGTTTTGTTGTTGAAATAGAGCAATTTTACTAATAGTATAGTAGTAGTAGTTTTATTAATTAAAAACAAACAACAACAAAACAACATTTATTATTTACACATTTGAAATATTCTTTTTCTGACCCTTAGGACTGTAATTTGATACTATGCTGGAGCAATGTACGTCACCTCTCAAAAAATGACCATGTAATCACCCTTCTCAAAGGTGTAAAAGTAAAAAGTTTCTCTTTCAAACCTGACGGTCTATGGGGCAAGTGAAGTAGAGTTCACTTGTTTCTGTGACCTCGGCATATGAAGGTGTTCACAAACAAATAAACCCTGGACCTAACAATCCACAATCCACCCATGTGTTCTCAGACAAACCCCGAGCCTACCTCACAGCGTACGAAGACTCGGAGTCACAGTAATCGCCTTGAGCGATTAAACTAATCCTAATCTGTGGGATATCCTGGAGCAGACGTGTACAGCACTGCTGGAGCTTTTGCCGGACCTGGATAGAAGATGTGTGGTAAAAAATAATTTGATAATTGCCTTCTATTGTAGATCAGTTGTGTAATTAAAACTAAAAAAATTAAACACAAAGATGTAGGCAAATACAAATATTAGTAACGAAATACAACCATAAACTCGAAAATGGGCGTTTATTTAAAAACTGAAAAATACATTAAAAAAAACAACAACTTAAAAGTCGTTAAACCTACCGTTGAAAGATATTGGTACATGCTTCCCGTTGTGTCGAAAGAGAAAGCCACTTCAACACGGCGGCCTTTTGCGTCGAAGCTGTTCATCACGGACTGAAATGTCAAAAAAATATTTTAAAATAAATCCAGGTAGTTTGGCCTATTAAATATCACATTGAATTTGAACACACAATATACATTGTTTTTACTTAGTTAGTTATTTTAGTCTGGTGATTGGTAGAAATTAAATATGTCTCGTGATTCAAAGTCTGTCGTTGAATACTTTTTTAAAAATTTTGTCGTCAGTTGCCACACTTTTCTGAGAAACAATTAACAGGTTATTTGTTGTTGTGGAAGTGGATCTAAAGTATATCTATTTAGACAGGACTATGGTACGAGTCTTTGCCTCGCCTCTTTGATGCCTAAGTAGATACAGTGATCCTTGAGGTAATCTTCTCTCCCCCCTCCAGTTCTGCCAAGCATACGCAAAAAGTTGCCAGCATTAATAACCACGTCATCGGCGGACGGCGTTAACAGCAGAGTTTCTTCCAGGCAACTCTTCGTGGGGGGGGGGGGGGTGTTTAGCGCCCCCCCCCCCCCCACCCCCAAAAGGCTACCCTCCCTTCCCCGAACAAAATGGAATTTATCGTGCCCCCCCCTCCCCACAGAGAAAAAAGTCTGGAAGAAACACTGGTTAGCAGGACATGTGTCACATGTCACGACAGACAAGTATTAAAACAAAATACTAACGCAACTCAGCTAAAGCGCAGCGTAAGTGTAATAAAAAAAAAGATATTTATTTAAAATAAGCTATACATTACATTGTTGATTCTTTATTCTTATCATCTACCATCAGATTAAAATAAAAATATTTAACACAACAGTTTCAACATTTAAAAGATTTAGACAACACTTTCAATAATGAATTCTATAAAGCTTACTAACTAATTTTTAAATACCTGTTTTGTTTCATCGTCAATTACTGGCGCAGGTTGGTCCCCACAACTCGTTGCTTTAGGAACTTCTGAAATTCAAGAAATGGAACACGCAAATATTATTCCAAATGCGACCGTGAGGTGTGGAGAAGATGACGTGTAGTTAGCTGTGAGCTATATTTGTGGCTACTTCAGTTAAGGCAGCACTTTGTCTAGACATTTCCCAACCCCCAACTAACTCCAGGTACCCAGAGTTTCTGAACAGACTCATGGCCACACATCATCAGAACTTCGTGGACTGAGTGACTTCCCACTCGATCTCATCTATCTATGTGGATGTATTAACTTTAAGAATTGGGGACGTGTACCCCACTTTGTATTGAGGTTTTATTTTTTCAAACATGCCTGCAGTATAACATAAAGGTAAAATGATGGCTGCCGATAAAGAAAGAAGATGAGATAGCGTCAATGTTCCCTTGAGACTTTACCTTTCTTTATCGCGGCTGTGACGCAGGTCCCATGTGTAAAACCCGTCTTGTGTAGCGTGTAAGAGGAAGGAGTTACCAGTCTTCCTTCGACCTAAAACCACAAAAATGAAGTTAACATTTTGAAGTTACGGGTCTTCTTTCACCACAACAACCTTGTCCAGTATATTACTCTCAAGCAGAGGCGAAGCGACCCTTCCCGGCGCCCGGGGACAAACTTTCGATTTGCACCCCCCCCCCCCCCTCGAACTTTTGATTTACACCCGCCCTCAAACTTTCTATTTGCACCTCCTCAAACTTTCGATTTGCACCCCCCCCCCTTCGAACTTTTCATTTGCACCCCCCTCAAACTTTCAATTTGGCGCCTCCCCCTGAGGTCGGCGCCCGGGGACATATTCCCCCTCCCCCCTCGCTACGCCTCTGCTCTCAAGAGTCTACTATACCCCAGCCAGACATTATACCAACGCCTGTGTCTGTCCCTTATTTTACCATTAAAATCACGTACCTTGATTTCTACCTGTGACCTAGAAGAACATAATTTGGTCGCCACAGCATCATACAGCGCCGACACAGGCTCTAGGTTGGATATTGCAACTTGTTCCGTGCCTTCGGGAAAACTGACGAGAATGTCGAGCATTTGTGGCACCAAGATCTGAGAGAATGATATACATTACGCTTTTGTTTTTTCGTTGTGACAGCACATAGTATTAGTAAGTAAAGAACCCTTCTTTCGAACCTTAAATCTAATTAGGAGGGGAATTAGAGTTTATCTACTTCAGTGACCTCGGCATGTAAAGGGAGGATGTGGTCAGCAATATGCCCATCAGCTTTTACTTTCCTAACGTGAGCAGGTACCCATCAGATCTGTGTGGGCTCATGGACCTTCACGGACTCGAGGAGACTTTCCGGTGATCAGTTGAACGCGCAATTGAGATTATCTGTACGAAAAGCTGGAAAACAACTACTAGACAAGGGCGCAAATAGGGAAGATGAAGTAGAGTTCATGCATATGGAGGCTAAATGTGCCTAGACGCGTTTACGAGACAATTTATAGGGACACTCGTCAGATTCGTACTGCTAAGTTTAATCATCATGTACTTAAGTAAGTGCGTTAAATATCATATTAATAACAATTGAGGCCAATACATGCTGAAACTTAAGGCATATAACGGTTGACCGCAGTGTTACTTTAAAAACTTTTTAGGCCTATTTTCCATTTACGTACGTCAGGCTTTTATTGTTTAGGCACTAAAGTGCAAATTGGTAAACTACAACTCATCGAATAAGCATATTATTTTTTTTTAATTATTTTTTTTTAAAAACAAGTTTTCTTATTTAAATATGGAAAGCAAAATACTCGAATTAACATATCTTACCTCAACTTTCAGAATAGTTTCCGCTCTTATTCCATATTCATTTAACGATTTGTTGTTGTCCAGTATTTTACCTTGGTATTTTAAAATGACTTGGCTACTTTTAATATGTTCTTCTTTGGCTATCAATTCACAAATAGAGTGAAGATTAGCAGAGCCAACAGTCGAATAAAAAGTGTTTCGCCCAGAGGGCAGCTTGACATACACATCGATTGTATTAGATGCCATTTTCTGCTGAGAAATATATATTTTTTTTTTACAAAAATTAAAACATTTTAGAAGTTGACCTATCAATAAAGCCAAGAGTGTAATTTATTTCTTAATAGAATAACAGAAATTGAAGTAGATGCATTGAGTGCACAGTTACAAATGATAAACTTATTAAAACCCTCTTTTGATATTATCAGTTTAACTATGTGGTTAACGTTTTTAAAACTTTTTTTTCTTATTTTAAACATTTGAATACTAATGAACCAAAACATTTTAAAAATGATAGTTAATCTAGTAAGTTTAATGTACCCAAGCTCCTATTAGGTCTAGTTTAAACTACCGTACATTTCGATTCGTTTTGGTTAATATTATAACTGTTAGGAAATCTATTTATAAATGCCAATCAAACAGCGTTTATTTTTAGCAATGGCTTTCCTCGGTAATAAGAATCTAAAAACAGAATTTTCCAACTTTATACTCATATAAATGTTAGCTTTTTAATAAATGTAAAAAAAAAAATCATTACTCTTACTGCGTTTTCTTAAAAAATATTTTGGGTTAGGGTTTGATCTAGATTCTAGTTTAAAAAAAAAATAAACAACATTGATTTAGCATTGTTTTGACATTTGAAAGCATACATATTTAATATAAAGCATATTTTATTTCTTATATGGTACATATTTGTATTTTATTCAGGTCTTTTGCTATTTTGAAAATGTTAAAAAAATAGATCTAAAATGTAGAATCTATCTAGATTTAGATCTAGGCCTAATCATAATCTTTATCGGAACCATTTGAACCTTTGTTTGAGATTTTTATTTTTAGCGAGCTCGTCGGTGGCCGAATCTGCAAGCTAATTAACGATAATGAAGTAACAATACTTCAATCAACGTGAGCTTCTCATTTACAATACTATATGATGTGTAGCGAGTACATGTTTTGAAAGTTATTATAATATATATAATCACAAATAATCTTCATGTACTAATACAATTTTGTTATTTTATATTTTAGTTTTAAATTCATTGTATGTAACAAGTATCGATACTAGATTTAGTATTGCAATAACCCATTTGTAATGTGTAAACCAAAATTTTGTTGATATTTCCTAAACATGGCTTTGCCTCCGGGATGGAAAAGAGAAGAAGTTGTAAGACAGTCGGGTTTATCTGCCGGAAAAACAGATGTTTATTATTTCACGTGAGATTATTGTAGTTTAAGAGTTCTATTTAGTAGATCTAGATGTAGTAGATATAGATCTAGTAGTTTGGAATGTTGAGTTATCACTCATCTACGCTGTTGTACGAGTGTCACTCAGAGTGTTCAGGCTGAGTGTTCAGCTCTCCTCACGGCCTCACGCGAGTCCTCTTGTTGTACTCACTACTTTTTAGTTTTTTACTTTTACTAGATCTAGATCTAAATCCAGAACGATTCAAGATTTACTAGATCAGCTAGATCTAGAACAGCGGTTCTTAATCTTTTAGACAAACGAGATACCAACCCCCCCCCCCCCCCCCCCCAGTTTCATATGATGATGCGTTCACAGAATCCATCTTAATAATAATAGTCCAATAGGCTGTCCATAGGCATTGGCGAAATCAAATGTGAATCCTATGAGTATGATACTCGGTGTGAACCTACTAGATCTCAGAGGCGTAGCGATGGTGGGGCAGGGGGGGGACTTTTGTCCCCGGGCGCCGACCTAAGGGGGTGCCAAAATGGGTTGTAAAAACAAATAAAAATGTCAATTTAGCTGCATTTTTGCAGGGGGAGGGGTGCAAATCAAAAGTTTGAGGGGGGGGGGTGTAAATCAAAAAGTTGAGGGAGGGGGTGCAAATTGAAAATTTGCTCCCAAGGGGGCGCCAAATTGAAAGTTTGCCGGGAAGGGTCGCTACGCCTCTGCTAGATCTAGGGTTCAATTAAACAAAACCACAGTTTTGAACCACTGAACTAGAATCTAGCTAGACTCTACTCTATATCTCATTGGTAGCCTTTTTTTTTTCTCAGTTCTGCAAAACTTTGCTATTTCTCTACTCTAATCATCTCAAGCTCTCTAGGCTATGCTTTTATTTAAATTTAATTAGATCAGTTTTTTATTTTATTAAAAAATGGGTGGAGTTTCTTAAAAATCTAAACAGCAAGAAGGGCAATTCAATACAAATCAAAATCTATTATAAAATTACTAAGTGCTGTAACAATGGTTAACATAATTGGTTCTAGTCTATACATACATAGATCTATAGGCGATAGTTATCCGTATTAAGTAATTAACCTAATAGTTTCAGTGCATGCATTTTTACATGTAATTAAAAAAATCAGTACCTGCATATTGATTAATTGGCTTATACTTGAAATCACAATTAATTTTTCTAGGCCAGATGGTAAAAAGATTCGGAGTAAACCACAGTTAGCCAGAATTCTTGGTGAAGCCTTTGATTTAAGTGCATTTGATTTCCGTACTGGACGTACAGTGTACAGTGCTTGTAGAAAAAGTAAACGTCAAAAAGGTTCCTCCTATGACTTTGCTAGAGGTAGGTACATGTTGTTTAATACAATAAAACAAAACCACATACAAATTTAGGACAAACAGTTGTGTTAAAAAAGTTGGCCAAGTTTATTATCTTCCAAGGTTTTTTTTTTAATAGTCCAGAAATGTGAATTATTTACATTTATAAATTTTAAGTAAATCCCATTTTTCATTATAAGAGAATAATGAATTAAACCTTACATAGTTCAGTAACTGGTAATTTGGGCCAGGGAATCACGGGAATGGCATGGCCTAGCTGTAGAGCACTAGGCTGCTAACCCATATCCGGGTTCAAGTCAGTCGAACATCCGTGAGGAGTCCACCCAGCTCTGATTAGGGAAACAAAGACGGCTGGGCATAATGCTGACCACATTATCCCCTGTATGCTGAGATCATTGTAACAGAGGAACTCTATCTGCCCCATGTGTCTTGGGCACAAATTTGAAAAGATGATGATGAGCTTGGGCCAGGCATCTTTTTTTTTGCCTGAAAAATAAATTTTCCATCTTTTAATTCTTTAGTTATTTACCATACATCTTTGGTAGACCTAATGTTTAAATAAAGTTAAAAAGAACCTATTCAAAGCTATATTAAAGTTTTTCTATTTGTAAAATATTTATAAGCTGTGGTGACTAGATACAAGCATATAGAATAACAAACTAACTACATTCTAGGTGTGCGCCATGATGCCAGTCTTGTACTACCTATTAGACAAACAGCTTCCATTTTCAAACAACCTGTCACAGTTATAAGGAACAGACAAGAGAGTAAATCTAAAGGTGAACTCAAGCATGGAATTCAGGATCAGCCCAAGCAGGTTAGTTTTACATCTTCAGATTAATTATGCATTTTTCTTTTTTTTAAAAAAAAGGAAATCAAATATACAATTTAAATGAAAATCATGTTTATAATTATGAAGATGATTTTTGTTGTTGTTATTATTCATTGAGCTATTAGTTTTAAGAATTTCTATATGACTAACAATGTATATGTGTATCTTAATTTTTTTATAGATATTTTGGGAGAAACGTCTCCACGGTCTTCATGCTTGTGACAGTAGTGAAGAAGTTATACCATCTATGGAACTACCCAAACAAATGCAGAGTAAGTTTAATTATTTCAACAAAAATTTACTCATTAATTTTTCTTGATATCTAATCACAGGATGGTTCCCCATGATATAGATAAACATGACTAATTTCACCGATGCTTTTTTTTAGGTCAATGCAGATTTTTAAATTCACAACTCATGAGATTAAATTTTTTCCATGTGTATGATATTAGTTATTTAAAAAATCAATGGCTAATGTTGCAAAAACTAAATTTAACAATTAAGCATTGGTTCAACCAGCAATCATGAACTATACAAATTTTGGTGTTTTCTGTAAACCTAGCATCTTGTGTTAAAAAATATTCCAAGACTATGTTTTTACTTTAGTTTGTACCCAATGAAAGAATTATTGTTTTTTTCACTCCAATGTTGAAAAGTTACGTAAACTATTATTTAAATTTTTGTCTATATTCATCATCATCATCACTCCTTTATGGCCCCTGGGGAGCAAAGGGCTGCAACCACACATCTCCAGCGGACTCGGTTTTGGGCTGCTCCTCTAATCTGTGCCCATGAGAGCCCAGCTGTTTTTGCCTCTTCCTCAACCGTTCTCTTCCACGTTCTCCTTGGCCGGCCCACCCTCCTCCTCCCCTGGGGATTCCAATCCAAATTCCAATGCATGTTTTGCGATGTTTTCTTTGTCTATATTAATACATTGTATTTATTTATTTTGGTGTTTTTTTTCATGTTTTTTTATTAATTTAAAATTAATATGAAGTCCCTCGAATATGATGGTTTGTCTAGTGGTAAACCATACAGCATTCTATTGTATTTGTATTCTATTAACTAGCCTTGACCTCTTTCAACTAAGCTGGTATGAGATGGGTACCTGATGAGACATGGGGCGGAGTGGTCTAGTGGTAGAGAGCTGGACTGCTAACCCTCAAGTCTCGAGTTCGAATCCGGGTTCAAGTCAGTAGACCGTCCCTGAGTCCACCCAACTCTGATGGGTACCTAACTCACATTAGGGAGAGTAAAGGCGGGTGGGCATAGTGCTGACCACACTATCTCTTCATCACAGAAACAAGTGAACTCTACTTCACTTGCCCCATAGACCGTCAGGTTTGAAAGGGAAACTTTTACCTGATGAGACAGGGAAAGTAAAAGTGGCAGGCTGGCGGGGCATATCGCTCATCATCAACTTTCTTCATATGTATTGGTGAATAAAACATAAACAGCCTGCCTTTTTTTATCTGCCACATAGACCACAAGTACTAATGTACATAATTTGTTTATGATAATAAATAGCTTTTCTGTTTCAGGTGTTGGTCCAGAGCTGTCCACAGAGAATGTTTTACAGAGTATTTCTGCAGCGTTACATATAAACACAGGACCTGTGGTTGGGCAGGGTGCCAGCAAACAAGCCATCATGAAGAATCCAAGCATCAACATGGACACTCAGCAACCCCACATTCAGCAGGTTAGTCAGTACTACATTACTTTAGGAGTAGATTACCATGAGAACCACTTGAATATTATTCTTAGTTATCTCCCATTAGCAGATTAGAATTTAGGAAGTAAGTATAGATAGGATATGAGTGTGTGTGGAAAGTGTTTGGATATAATAATCTTTTTTTAGTGTAGTGTGTAAGAGATATTTATTAAGCTTTGTTAAAATTGTAGCTTTATATTTAGTGCAAACATAGGCTAAAAAGTGCAGCTATTTGGGGTAATCAACCTATTTTTAACTGATATTTGGGATTTTAGTAGGCATGACCAAAGTACTTTCTGCAATTTCAAAACATCAATATGTTGTATAGCTTGAGATTGTTGTTTGATGTAACTAGATCTAGTTGATTTCTTTTGTTAGAACTGTGCAATCTTTCACTATCACAGCTGATTACATTTTGCCCTGATTTAACTCACACGTTTTAATATCTAAATATTATAACAATATAAGGGTAGTAAGCTCATGTTTTAGTTATAAAAACAATTATATTTTAATATCCTATTAATCTCCTATTTATTTTTTCTGTTCTGTTTATTCTTAATTTAGTTGACACCCTACAGGAATAAAAATTTGAAATATTTTCTTCAAAACTTGATCAATAACAATTTTTTTGCCTCATGATTGTCTCTCTAGTTTAAAAATACCTGGGAATACAACTCACCATCTTATCCAGTGATGGCTATTACTTGATATTATCTCCCCTTTGGCTATTAGAAATTATCTTTTAAGTCTTTAAAATAAACTTTAATGACTAATTTAATATTCAGGGTTCAGTTCGACTGAAAATAATAAGTTTTTGTGCTGTCTATAGAAGTCAACTTAAATTGTAAGCTTGAAAGAAATAGCTGCATTAGAAATTGGTCTAATTTCCATTATGAAGTTTGACCACAAACTCACAGACAGACATCAGGACACAGTGACCTAAGAAATAGCTATTAAAAATGTCTCATAGAAAATTTGAGTTATCTATTAGTACCTGATATCTAGCTTAATAGAAGTAAACAAATTGTTTTTTCTCTGTTATCTAAACACAACTAATGTTCAGTGACAACAAGTAATCAGTGGACATTGTATTATTATTAATACATAGTGATCACAATTATATAGTTAAATATCTTAATTGACTTAATTTGTTTGTTAAAATCAAATGAAAACACATTAGTGCATTATCTCTAAAAATATAGTCAGTTCAGCTGTAATGTTATACTTTTGATGTGTTTTGTTTTAGGTTTTGGTATCATCTGATGACATCCATAGACAAGAACAACGTGTTCAGCTAGCTCGACGTAGACTTCAAGATTTGATTCAGTCCTTAGAGTAATCGTCTTTAAAGATTTTCTTGTATGTCTTGGTAAATTTACAAAAACATTGTTTGACATAGCCAGTTCAAGTGAAACTGGTCAATTGTATTTATTTAATCCTATATTAAAAGGCTTATTCATTATGTTTTCAAAATGAAGTAACAAAGAAATCTGAAATTTGTTGTAATGGATTATCTTTTGTGCGTGTTTTATTTTCATGATGATATATAGATCCATGTGAATTGATTCTTAATTTGACATGATGAAATTAATTTTATTTTGAAATGAACTAATGTCAAGTTGTTTAGTTTCATATAATTATGAACAGTAAAGTCGAAACATTTCAATTTATCTCATGTCCTGTTTATTTTATTATGTTGTGTGATCCTAAGCCCACATCACTTGTATGGTGGACATCCATTTGTCTAGTTGGGTTGTGTAGAGATCCTAAGCCCACATCACTTGGATGGTGGACATCCATTGTCTAGTTGAGTTGTGTAGAGATCCTAAGCCCACATCACTGGGATGGTGGACATCCATTGTCTAGTTGGGTTTTGTAGAGATCCTAAGCCCACATCACTTGGATGGTGGACATCCATTGTCTAGTTGTGTTGTGTAGAGATCCTAAGCCCACATCACTTGTATGGTGGATATCCATTGTCTAGTTGTGTTGTGTAGAGATCCTAAGCCCACATCACTGGGATGGTGGACATCCATTGTCTAGTTGTGTTGTGTAGAGATCCTAAGCCCACATCACTTGGATGGTGGACATCCATTGTCTAGTTGGGTTTTGTAGAGATCCTAAGCCCACATCACTTGGATGGTGGACATCCATTGTCTAGTTGTGTTGTGTAGAGATCCTAAGCCCACATCACTGGGATGGTGGACATCCATTGTCTAGTTGGGTTTTGTAGAGATCCTAAGCCCACATCACTTGGATGGTGGACATCCATTGTCTAGTTGGGTTTTGTGGAGATCCTAAGCCCACATCACTTGTATGGTGGACATCCATTGTCTAGTTGAGTTGTGTAGAGATCCTAAGCCCACATCACTTGTATGGTGGATATCCATTGTCTAGTTGAGTTGTGTAGAGATCCTAAGCCCACATCACTTGTATGGTGGACATCCATTGTCTAGTTGAGTTGTGTAGAGATCCTAAGCCCACATCACTTGGATGGTGGATATCCATTGTCTAGTTGAGTTGTGTAGAGATCCTAAGCCCACATCACTTGTATGGTGGACATCCATTGTCTAGTTGAGTTGTGTAGAGATCCTAAGCCCACATCACTTGTATGGTGGATGTCCATTGTCTAGTTGAGTTGTGTAGAGATCCTAAGCCCACATCACTTGGATGGTGGACATCCATTGTCTAGTTGTGTTGTGTAGAGATCTTAAGCCCACATCACTTGTATGGTGGACATCCATTGTCTAGTTGGGTTGTGTAGAGATCCTAAGCCCACATCACTTGTATGGTGGACATCCATTGTCTAGTTGGGTTGTGTAGAGATCCTAAGCCCACATCACTTGGATGGTGGACATCCATTGTCTAGTTGGGTTTTGTAGAGATCCTAAGCCCACATCACTTGGATGGTGGACATCCATTGTCTAGTTGTGTTGTGTAGAGATCCTAAGCCCACATCACTTGTATGGTGGACATCCATTGTCTAGTTGGGTTTTGTAGAGATCCTAAGCCTACATCACTTGGATGGTGGACATCCATTGTCTAGTTGGGTTTTGTAGAGATCCTAAGCCCACATCACTTGTATGGTGGACATCCATTGTCTAGTTGTGTTGTGTAGAGATCCTAAGCCCACATCACTTGGATGGTGGACATCCATTGTCTAGTTGTGTTGTGTAGAGATCCTAAGCCCACATCACTTGTATGGTGGACATCCATGGTCTAGTTGGGTTGTGTAGAGATCCTAAGCCCACATCACTTGTATGGTGGACATCCATGGTCTAGTTGGGTTGTGTAGAGATCCTAAGCCCACATCACTTGTATGGTGGACATCCATTGTCTAGTTGAGTTGTGTAGAGATCCTAAGCCCACATCACTTGGATGGTGGACATCCATTGTCTAGTTGGGTTGTGTAGAGATCCTAAGCCCACATCACTTGTATGGTGGACATCCATTATCTAGTTGGGTTTTGTAGAGATCCTAAGCCCACATCACTTGTATGGTGGACATCCATTATCTAGTTGGGTTTTGTAGAGATCCTAAGCCCACATCACTTGGATGGTGGACATCCATTGTCTAGTTGGGTTTTGTAGAGATCCTAAGCCCACATCACTTGGATGGTGGGCATCAATTGGCCCTCTCACATCTTCCATTCACTGTTTACCAATCTGCACAGTTAAAAAACTTTCACTTTGTACAATAAATACTAGAATGTTCGTAGCTTAAAGATGTAAGCATATATTAGTATTAAAAGAAAGCTGCCATTGTAAAGGTTAGTTTTTAAAGAGCCTAAAGAAAATCTAAGGGTTAGTGAAGTCCAGTGCACTGTTGATAATCCGAAAGTCTGGAGTTAAGTTCCCAGCTGGGCAATATGACGTCATTGACTCACTTTGACTCGTAATTGAAATGATATAACTATGTATAACCAGTCTCTTTCAGGGTTTGGGAGGGGGGGGGGTATTAATATAAAATTGTTGCGTTTAGGAACATTTTATTAGAGTGGCGTTGCCGTCGCGTCTCCCCACCACCGAAATGTCTGAAAGTACCAAATACTGGTAAACTAGCCGGAGAAAGTAAAGACATTTGGCTAGAGCAATGACCTTACTCTTCCTTCGTGTGCCATTATCATAGAACTAAGTGAAATCTACTTCACCTGACACATGGATCGTCTGGTCTGAAAGAGACTATTAATAAATTTTACTAGCACGTATTGATGACCATGATATGAATCCTGAGCACGAGTGGCTGTCGTGACGATAGCCAAAAGCAGACAGTGGCGTGACAATAGCCAGCCAGATAGAATCAGCCAATCTTATCGTCAGCTGGTATCTAGCGAGGTTGTGACGCTGATCTTGTGACAATAACCGCGCTTTTAAACTTTCCATTGATGGATGCACCATCAGTTTCATTGATTGCTGCACTAATAGTTTAATGCCGCCGTCTCTTGACCGACTACCACACACACTAAGACTCTGTTGGTTCAAGTGTGTGCGATCAAACAAATAATCTACGTCTTGACAATAATAATAAATAAAATTGTTTTTTTTTAATGCAACCTAAAAATATATTAAAAGAAGTCTCAACCTTCTACTCAGTGCCAACTTAACTAAAACGATTTGAATCTTTTGTAATACCATTCTCAAATTTAGCTAAATTTATTTTCATTTGAACTGACAAACACGTTCATTAGTATTTCTATGCTAGTATTAGTATTTATACCAAGGCTTACAATTCAGGCTTTGATGTAGAGAAAAAATGCACAATGGATAAAATTTCAATCACGATTGGTACCCCTTTCAAAAATTTCTTGAATCTCTTGGGCACAACCAGCCCGCACCTGTTACTATGTTATTGAGTTCATTCACAATTTAAAATAGTTGGAAATAGTAGGCAACAGTAACAAGTTCTTTTTACTTCTTCGTTCTTAATTGTAATGATTTCCTCCAACACAATTAAGTATTGCTGTCTATTTCAGACTGATTTTCATTTTGGATTTGCTTCCATAGCCTTTAACTATCCACCCAAGAACAGTCTGCAAGGCAGTAGTTGTTTGATTTTGGAGTTTTCTCTCCGGATGGGTTGCTCAGTAGCGTAGGTAGGGGGGGGGGGACATATGTCCCCGGGCGCCGACCTTAGGGGCGCCAAAATGGGTTGGAAAAATAAATATGAAAGCTTGAGGAGGGTGCAAATCGAAATTTTGAGGGGGGGGGGGGGGGTGCGAATCGAAAGTTTGTCCCCGGGCGCCGGAAGGGTCGCTACGCCCCTGGGGTTGCTGTCCCCAGCTAACGACCATCTTTAGCTATACCGACAATGCTGACCCCTATTGCAATGTTAAATATTGTTTACAATACATCGCTATATCTATAGAGGCTCAAGGTAGAGCCAGAGTTTCTTCCAGGCATCTCTTCGGGGGGGGGGCTTCGCCCCCAAAAAATTCTACCGCCCCCCCCCCCGAATGAAATGAAATTTATATAATTTATATAGAAAATATATACTTGTAACAGTGTCTCCCCCCCCCCCCCCCAAATTTCAAGTGCCCCCCCCCCCCCGGAGAAAAAAGTCTGGAAGAAACACTGGGTAGAGCACGTCAGGGACTTGAGTTGTCCCTGGACGAAATAGAAAATATAACATAAAATTATATACTTTTACATTATACGCCCCACGTGGTTTCAAGCGATCCCCTGATTCTGTAGCTGACATAAAACTGTTGTCCAGTTGTCAAGGGACACAACATAGACGAAGAGCTGACCAAAGGCCTTCTTCAAACATGTCCCGTGATTAGTGTTGAGGTAACCAAACAAAACACTTCAAATTTAAGCTTGAGAAAATCGACCAGGAACTCCAGTCATTTAGGTCTATGTACATGCGACAAACCACTTGACTACCATTGACCGTTGATTGAACCCACTGATCTACAGTGATGTCGATTATAGGGCACCCTTCTATCGGAATTGGGCTTTAATGAAATGTAAGGACAAGATGGTTCTTAAAATTAGACTTGTTTAATTATAGTTTTAATCACATAATGTTACGTAATTAAAACCATTAATCACAAGTAGTTCAATATTGTATATTGGGTGGGAAAACTCGAAATTCCAGAGTTGGAACCAGTGTTTCTTCCAGACTTTTTTCTCCGGGGAAGGGGGGGGGGGGTCACTTGATATTTTCGGGGGGGGGGGGGGGCGGACACTAGTAAAAATATTTTTTACTATATAAATTCCATCTCGTTCGGGGGGTGGGAGCGGGGGGGGGGGGGCGGTAGACTTTCTTCGGAAGGGGGGGGGGGGGCTCTGCCCCCCGAAGAGATGCCTGGAAAAAACTCTGGTTGGAACCCCCCGGTAGATGAGACTCGTTGGTTGGGTACAGCATGCTGGAAAGAAAACTCCGAAATCAAACAGGAGTGGCGCCCCTTAAGCGATAGGATTAGCAACTCTGGTTTCCTTTTGGCAGCCTCTGGTAGCAAACATATTGCGTTACATACCTTTGGACTGTAGCGGCAAAGGTCGAGAGGTAGCATTAGCAACCCATGATCTCTTCATCTAGTGCCCTGGTACGCGTCTAGGATTCCACTTCTGAAGGTGCATCCATGTCTCATGAGGAAAAATGAGTCATATATTTCATATAATTATGAAAAGTAAAGTCGAAACATTTCAACTTATCTCA